GAGGACCCTGGGTCTCAGTGTCTCACAGTAATTTTTGCAAGCACCTCTGAGAGAAAGCTGCCCTCAAATTTCGCCCGCTGCCAGACAATGCACTTTCTGCCCGAATGAGTCTGGGTCCTCAGAGTCTTACCCAGCACTGGAGTTCAGAGCAGTCAGAGCTTTTGTCTCCCTCCCAATTGAGAAAGCCAGACATTTACTCAGTTGCCAGTCCTTTCCCTGTGCAAGCCTCCATACATCTGCCTTCTGAAGTTCCTATGAGTCTCTGTGTGCCTTTTTGTTTTTTTTTCTTACAGTCCAGTTTTTCAGTGTATGAGTCTAGGTTCACATAGTCTGGCCTGGAACTGGAGTTCAGCACAGTTGGGAGCTTTTGTCTCCCTCCAGATTTAAAAAGCCACCACGTACTCAGTTGCCCACTCTCTCCGCACGTGCCTCCATACCTCTACCTTTTGCAGTTCCTGTAAGTTTCAGTGTGTTTTTCTCTTTCCTTCTAGTTGTAGAATTTCCACTTAGCCAGCCTTTCTGTGGTTCTGGATGATGTCCGTTTTGTCTTTTAGTTGTAGTTTTGAAATTGTTTTTTGAGGCAGCAATTTAGGTGTTTCCCTATGCCACCATCTTGGTTTCATCCTCCTGACTACACTATTAAGGTAATCATTTTCACTTTCAGATAATTAAAAAAAAAAAGTCATATTTTTTGGTCTAAGCCAACTCTTCCATGGGAATTTATATCTTTAAATTGCTTTGACACATTAAGACTTTCATCAATGTAGTACTCAAATTGTTTCAATTTCTGGAGAGAGGAAATCTCAATAATTTCAATACAAGAAAATGTAAGTTCGTGATTTATAACCATATTAAGCAAACACATGATTAAAAGAAAAAACGTTAGTAATGCAAAAAGCCCTGCATTGAACATGTTAAATCCTTTCTCTGTCACTATAATAATCACCCTCTTCACCATACAGGTTTATCATGAGGGTTGTAAATGGATGAGAGCATGATAATATGCAGATTATTTATATATTTAAAGGGGGAAGCTGTAATTTAACTATCTATTAAATATAAAATTATGCTCAATTATGACTTCAGATAAGTATTTTAGCCAAATGGAATATCCATGTGTGGATGCCATACATTCTGGATCACTTGATTGGTGAAAACAAAGTGTATATGTATTTTTAAATTTATTTTTTCTTAATTATTTAAGGTATTACATAAGTGATCTTATCCTTCCATTGCCTCCCCACACCCTCCCTCAGGCCATCACACTTCTGGTGTCTGTGTCCATTAATTAGGCTTATATGTGAGCATACAAATCCTTTGGTTGATCTCTCCCCTTTACCCCCACCCTCCCATATTTTTCCTCTTAGGTTTCAGGGTCTGATTGATGCTTCTCTGTCTCTGGATCTATTTTTGTTCATCAATTTATGGTTTTCATTATATTCCACTAATGAGTGAGATCATATGATATTTATCTTTCTCTGCCTGGCTTATATCACTTAGCATAATGCTCTCCATTTCCATCCATGCTGTAGCAAATGGTAAGAACTCCTTTTTTCCCCTCAGCATAGTATTCCATTCTGTAGATGTACCACAGTTTTTAATCCACTCATCTGCTGATGGGCATCTAGGCTGTTTCCCAATTTTAGCTATTGTAAATTGTGCTGCTATGAACATAGGGGTGCACATATGCTTTCTTATTGGTGTTTCCAGTTACTTGGGATATATTCTTAAAAGGAGGATCACTGGGTCAAATGGGAATTCCATTTTTAATTTTTTGAGGAAGTGACATACTGTTTTTCACAATGGCTATACCAGTATGAATTCCCACCTGTAGTGCATGAGATTTCCTTTTTCTTCACCAGCACTTGTCATTTGTTGATTTGTTGATGGTAGCTATTCTGACAGGTGTGAGTTAATACCTCACTGTCATCTTGATTTGCATCTCTTAGATGATTAGTGACTTTGAGCATGCTTTCATATGTCTCTTGGCCTTCCTTATGTCCTCTTTCAAAAAGTATCTATTTAGGTACATTGCCCATTGTTTTCTTGTATTGTTTATCTCCATTTTGTTAAGTTGTATGAGTACCCTGTAAATGTTGAAGATTAAACCCTTATAGGTGATAACATTGGCAAATATATTCTCCCATGCAGTGGGCTTTCTTGTTGTTTTGTTGATGGTTTCCGTTGCTGTGAAAAAGCTTTTTATTTTGATGAAGTCCTATTTGGTTATTTTCTCTTTAATTTCTCATGCCTTATGAGCTGTATCAGGAAAGATATTGCTTGGGCATATGTCTGAGATATTGCTGCTTGTGGAATCTTCTAATTCTTTTTATTGTTTCCCATCTTATGTTTAACTACTTTATCAATTTTGAGTTTATTTTGGTGTATGGTGTAAGTTGGTGGTATACTTCCATTTTTTTTGCATGTATCTGTCCAATTTTCCCAACACCATTTATTGAAGAGACTTTCATGACTCCACTGTTTATTCTTGCTTCCTTTGTCAAATATTGATTGAGAATACTGTCTTGGGTTGATTTCTGGATTCTCCATTCTATTCCATTGGTCTATATGTCTGTTCTTGTGCCAGTACCAGGCTGTTTTGGGAACCGTGGCTTTGTAATACAGCTTGATATCTGGTATTGATATACCTTTTACTTTGTTCTTCTTTCTCAAGATTGCTGTGGCTATTTGGGGTCTTTTTTTTTATTCCAGAAGAACTTTTGGAGAGTTCTTTATAGGTATGTGAAATATGCCATTGGTATTTTAATGGGGAGTGGATTGAACATATAGATTGCTTTTGGTAGTATGGACATTTTAATGATGTTGATTCTATAATACCAATCCATGAACGCGGTATGTTCTTCCATTTGTTTGTCTTCCTATAGCTCTTTTTTTCTATGTGTGTCCTGTAGTTTTCTTTTACCTCCTTACTTAAGTTTATTCCAGGTATCATAATTTTTTTGGTCCAATGGTAAATGGGATTATTTTTTAATCTGTCTTTCTAAGAGTTCACTACTGGTGTATATAAATGCCATAGATTTCTTGGTGTTAATTTTGTATCCTGCTACATTGCCAAATTCATTTATTGGTTCCAATAGTTTTTTATGGAGTCCTTAGGGTTTTCTATGTACAGTATCATGTCATCTGAGAATAATGAAAGGTTTACATCTTCTTATCTAATTTGGATACCTTTTACTAATATTTCTTCTTGTCTCGTTTCTATTGCTAGCGCTTCCAATAGTATGTCAATCAGGACTTGTGAGAGTGGACATCCCTGTCTCCTTCCTGTTCTTAGGAGAAATAGTTTTCGTTTTTGCCCATACAGTGTGATGTTGGTCATAGATTTGTAATATAAGGCTTTTAATATGTTGAACTGTGATCCCTCTATTTCCATTTTGCTAAGGGTTTTTATCAAGAAAGGATGTTGGATTTTGTCAAATGTTTTTGCTGCATTAATTGATATGACTATATGATTTTTATCTCTCAATTTATTTGATGTATCATGATATTGATTTGCAGATATTGTACCAAACTTGCATCCCTGGGATAAATTATATTTGGTCATGATGTATGATTTTTCTGATGCAATGCTGCATCTGATTTGCTAGAATTTTGTTGAGGATATTGGCATCTATGTTAATGAGGGATATTGACCAGTCATTCTCTTTCATTGTGTTGCCTTTATCTGGTTTTGGTAGTAGGGTGATGCTGGCTTCATAGAATGAACTTAGAAGTGTTTTTTCCCCTTGAATTTTTTTTTTTTTTGAATAGTCTGAGGAGGATAGGTTTTAATACTTCTTTGAATAATTGGTAAAAATCTCCTGTGGAACCATCTGGCCCTGGGTTTTTGTTTGCTTAATGCTTTTTTATGACTGCTTCAATTTCCTCCATAATTATTGGTCTATTGAGATTTTTAGATTCTTCCTGATTGAGTTTTGGAAGGTTGTATAATATTTTTCTTTTTTTTCTTTTTTAAATATATTTTATTGATTTTTTTTAAATTAAATTATTATCTGTGTACATATTTTAACATTGCCCGCCCCTACATACTCCCCCTGCCCAGAGTTTTGTGTCCATTGGTTGTACTTATATGCATGTATACAAGTCCTTCCGTTGATCTCTTATCTCCCCCAGATCTCCCTAATCTCCCTGCTGTAATTTTACAGTCTGCTTGTTGCTTTACTGTCTCTGTATCTATCTTTTGGTTCATCAGTTTATAATGTTCTTTATTATCCATAAATGAGTGAAATCGTGTGGTGTTTCTCTTTCATTGACTGGCTTATTTCACTCAGCATGATGTTCTCTAGTTCTATCCAGGTTGCTGCAAATGATGAGAATTCCTTATTTTTTATGGCAGCATAGTATTCCATTGTGTAGATGTACCATGGTTTTTTGATCCAATAATCTGCTGACGGGCACCTAGGCTGTTTCCAGATTTTAGCTATTGTAGATTGTGCTGCTATGAACATAGGGGTGCATATATCCTTTCTGATTGGTGTTTCTAGTTTCTTGGGATATATTCCTAGGAGTGGGATTACTAAGTCAAATGGGAGTTCCATTTTCAGTTTTTTGAGGAAACTCCACACTGTTCTCCACAGTGGTTGCACCAGTCTGCATTCCCACAAGCAGTGCACGAGGTTTCCTTTTTCTCCGCAACCTCGCCAACACTTGTCATTTGTTGATTGTTGATGTTGGCCATCCTGACAGGTGTGAGATGGTACCGCATTGTTGTTTTGATTTGCAACTCTCGGACAATTAGTGAATTTGAGCATGTTTTCATATGCCTTTTGGCCTTCCTTCTGTCTTCTTTTGAAAAGATTCTATTTAGGTCCATTGCCCATTTTTTAATTGGATCATTCATCTTCCCTTTATTTAGTTGTATAAGCTGTTTGTAGATGTTGGAGATTAAACCTTTATCAGTGGTATCATTTGCAAATATGTTCTCCCACACTGTGGGCTTTCTTGTTGTTTTGTTGATGGTTTCTTTTGCTGTAAAAAAGCTTTTTATTTTGATGTAGTCCCATTTATTTATTTTCTCTTTAGCTTCCATTGTCCTAGGGGCAGTATCAGTGAAGAAGTTCTTTTGGCATATGTCTGAGATTTTGCTGCCTGTGGATGCTTCTAGTATTTTTATGGTTTCCCGTCTGATGTTTAAGTCCTGTATCCATTTTGAGTTTATTTTTGTGTAGGGTGTAAGTTGGTGATCCAGTTTCATTCTTTTGCATGTATGTGTCCAATTTTCCCAACACCATTTATTGAAGAGACTGTCTTGACTCCATTGTATATTCGTGCCTACTTTGTCAAATATTAATTGAGCATAGTGATTTGGGTTGATATCTAGGTTCTTGATTCGATTCCATTGATCTATATGTCTGTTCTTGGGCCAGTACCAGGCTGTTTTGAGAACAGTGGCTTTGTAATACAGTTTGAAGTCTGGTATTGAGATCCCTCCTACTTTACTCTTCTTTCTCAGGATTGCTGTGGCTATTCGGGGTCTTTTATTGTTCCAAACGAACTTTTGGAGAGTTCTTTCTAGGTCAGTGGAATATGCCATTGGTATTTTAATAGGGAGTGCATTGAACCTATAGATTGCTTTAGGAAGTATGGACATTTTGATGATGTTGATTCTACCAATCCATGAACATGGTATGTTCTTCCATCTGTTTACATCTTCCTCTATCTCTTTTTTCAGTGTTGTGTAGTTTTCCGCATATAGGTCCTTTACTTCCTTAGTTAAGTTTATTCCTAGGTATCTTAATTTTTTTGGTGCGATGGTAAATGGAATTGCTTTTTTAGTCTCTGTTTCTATAAATTCGCTGTTGGTGTATAGAAATGCCATAGATTTCTTAGCGTTAATTTTGTATCCTGCTACATTGCCAAATTCATTTATTAAGTCAATTAGATTTTTAATGGAGGGATATTGGCCTGTAATTCTCTTTCATTGAGTTGTCTTTATCTGGTTTTGGTATTAGGGTGATGCTGGCTTTACAGAAGGAGTTTGGAAGTGTTCCTAACTCTTGAATTTTTTGGAATAGTCTGAGGAGGATAGGTTTTAGTTCTTCCTTGAATGTTTGGTAAAACTCTCCTGTGAAGCCATCTGGCCCTGGGCTTTTGTTTGCTGGAAGCTTTTTGATGACTCTTTCAATTTCTTCCCAAGTCACTGCTCTATTGAGATTTTTAGATTCTTCCTGATTGAGTTTTTGAAGGTTGTATTTTTCTAGGAATATGTCCATTTCCTCCAGGTTGTTCAGTTTGTTGGAATAGAGTTGTTCGTAGTATTTTGTAACAATCCTTTGTATTTCGGCTGGGTCTGTTGTTTTTTCACCTCTTTCATTTCTGATTTTGTTTATTTGGGTACTCTCTCTTTGTTTCTTGGTTAGCATGGCTAGAGGTTCATCTATCTTGTTTATTCTTTCAAAGAACCAGCTCCTGGTTTTGTTGATCTTATGTATTGTTTCTTTGGTCTCTATGTCGTTTATCTCCGCTCTGATTTTTGTTACTTCTGTCCTTCTGCTTACACTGGGCTTTTCTTGTTGCTCTTTTTCTAACTCTTTGAGTTGTAGAGTTAGATCATTTGTTACACTTTTTTCTAGTTTTTTGCAATAGGCTTGTAGGGATATGAACTTCCCTCTCAAAACTGCTTTTACTGTGTCCCATAGATTTTGGATAGTTGTGTTTTCATTGTCATTTGTTGCCAGGATGTTTTTAATTTCTTCCTTGATTTCTGTGGTAACCCAGTCCTTGTTTAATAGCATGCTGTTTTGTCTCCATGTGTTTGATTTTTTTGGATTTTTTTCATTGTAGTTAATTTCCAGTTTTATGCCACTATGATCTGAGAAGATGCTTGATATGATTTCTATCTTCTTGAATTTGAAGAGACTTTGCCTATGTCCCAAAATGTGTTCTATCTTTGAGGATGTCCCATGTGCGCTTGAGAAGAATGTATATTCTGTGCCTTTTGTGTTGAATGTTCTGAAAATATCGATTAATTCCATCTGGTCTAGCAAGTCATTTAGGATTGATATTTCTTTGCTGATTTTTTGTTTAGATGATTTGTCAAAGGGTGACAGTGGGGTATTAAAATCTCCTACTATGATTGTATTGCTATTAATCTCTCCCTTAATGTCCTCCAGCAGTTTTTATATATATTGGGGTGCTCCCGTATTGGGTGCATATATATTTACCAGGGTTATTTCTTCTTGTTTGATTGCTCCCTTTAGTATTATGAAGTAGCCTTCATTATCTCTTGTTATGTCCTTCACTCTGAGATATAATTTGTCAGATATAAGTATTGCTACCCCACCTTTTTTTTTCATTTCTATTCGCCTGGGAAACCTTTTTCCATCCCTTCACCCTCAGTCTGTGTGCATCTTTTTTTCTGAGGTGGGTTTCTTGTAGACAACAGATATATGGGTCTTGTTTCCTTATCCAATCCGTTTCCCTATGTCTTTTGATTGGAGCATTTAGTCCATTTACATTTAAAGTTATTATTGATAGGTACTTATTTGATGTCATTTTAATTCTATACCCCTGTGTTCCTTCTTTGCTTTCTATTTCTTTAATTTTACAGTAGACTCTTTAGCATTTCTTGCATTGCTGGTTTGGTGGAGATAAATTACCTTAGTCTGTTTTTGTCTGTGAAGGTCCTGATTTCACCTTCACTTTTGATTGATAACTTTGCTGGGTACAGTATTCTTGGATTCAGACCCTTCCTTTGCATGACTTTGTATATTTCATCCCATTCCCTTCTGGCCTGATAAGTTTCTGTGGAGAAATCTGTTGCTACTCTGATGGGGGTTCCTTTATATGTAACCTTCTGTCTCTCTCTGGCTGCTTTTAAAATTCTTTTTTTGTCGTTGGTGTTTGCCAGCTTAATTATAATGTGCCTAGGGGTCGGTTTTCTGGGGTTCATTCTGCTTGGGACTCTACGAGCATCTTGGATTTGTGTGGGGTTTTTCTTCTCTATCTCAGGAAAGTTTTCTGTCATTATTTCTTGAAATACATTTTCCATGTCTTCCTCAATTCCCTTTCCTTCTGGAACCCCTATTATTCTAATATTGTTTTGTTTTGTATTGTCCCAAAGTTCCCTTAGACTTTCCTCCTGTTTTTTAATTTTTTTTCCAGAAGCTGTTCTAATTGGGTATTTTTTTCCATCTTGTCTTCTAGCTCGCTGATGCGGTCCTCTGCTTCTTATAATCTACTCTTGATCCTTTCTATTGAGTTCTTTACAGTAGCGATGTCATTTTTCATTTCTTCTTGGTTCTTCTTCATTTTTCATTTCTTCTTGGTTCTTACTCATATTGTCAAATTTGTCTTCCATTCTTTTTAGCCATCTTATGATCATTACTATGAATTCTTGCTCTGGTAGGTTGCTTGTCTCTATCTTGTTTACTTACTTTTCTGGTGAAGCCTGCTTTTCTTTCATATGCTGGCTGTTTTTTGGTCTCCCCATGATCTAGGATGTCTGGTTGTGTAGTTCTCTCTCTCCTGCTTTGATTTAAAGGCACAAAATACAACACAACCAGGTACAACACACAAGGCACTGAATAGAAATGTGCTTGCGATATTAATAAACACCAATAAAGGTGACTAGAACCCAGCTAACAAAAACATACAGTCAAAAAAAAAGCATAGGCAAATCAGTCTTATAAAAAAAAAGAGTGTACAACTTCAGTATAGTTAACATTCAACATACAACTTCAAAGAGTTAGAGAGAAAGACTGTTTTTTGTTTCGTTTTGTTTTGTTTTTAGGACAACTGCGAGGGAGTTGTGAATGGGCTTGGAGCAGGTAGTTGGAAATTAGATATATACAAGTAGGGTGAAATTTTAGGAGGGGGTAGACAGAAGGAATGGGGAAAATCTAGAGCAGGAAAGGGTTAAGATAAACGGGGTACCAAAGGAAAATATCGGTAAGAGGGTGAAGGCATAAAGATATGGTTGAGATAGAATAAAGCGTTGGAGAAGGAAAGATAGATAAAGACTGTAGAATACTAATCCTGAAATAAAAAATGTATATAATAAAATGAAATAAAAATGATAAAAATAAACAAAAGAAAATAAGATGAAAAAGGTAAATTAGTAATAGTAATAATGTTGATTATGTATACAATGTAATAGGTATAAAGATAAAATCAAGTGAGGAAAAAGAAAAAAATAGTATTTTGGGAAAACGTTGCAAATAATGAAAACAAAAATAAAAAACAAAATTTTAACAATTAAAAAAAATAATAAAATTTTAAAAATTTAAATAAAATTTGCAGTAATGAAGGTCATTCGCTTCCTCTATTGTTATGATCCAGTCCTGATTTTTAGGCAGGTTTTGCTTTGTTTTTATTACACTAGAGTCAATTTGTGAATTAGCCTCCAGGGGCAGTGTTTCTAGGTTGACTTCCCAGACTCTAGCAGGCGTCTTCAAACTAGGGCCCGTGGGCCACATGCGACCCGCAGAGGAGTCTGATCCGGCCCGCCAGGTTTTTTGGGCAGTGAGCACAGCCGAGGTGTTACAGTAGGAATTAGTAGTTCATATATTCCGGCCCTCCAGCTCTCTGAGGGACCGTGATCTGGCCCCCACTTTAAAATGTTTGAGGACGCCTGAGCCTCTCCAGCTTTTTTTGTTTGTTTGTTTGTTTTTTTTGTTCTCTCTGAAGCAGGAACTACGGAGGTGGGAGGGGACATGTCCGAGCAACTGCAATCTCCCGCAACTCTCCGATATCCCTCAGAGCCAGATCCAAATGTATTGCTCTTTATATATCTGTTAGGATATATAAAATCCCCTGTTAGGAGCCCCGTCCACTTTCACGGGTGACACCCACCCAACAGCTGGATCTTCTACTTGTAATCACCGCCCTTGTCCTCCAACTTCCACGCGCTCTGTGCGAGCAGGCTTTTTGTTTTCCCTGCAAGCACTCTCCACCCTCTCCCATGAAATCTGACCTTTTCGCCGAGCAGTGGGGCACTCCTGTGAGGCCAGGTGTTCGTGCCGCCTTGAATCCGCGTTCTGGGGGTCTCAGCTGCTTGGTGGCCGC